CCGTCGAAGCATTTCTGCAGGACGAGGTCATCAGGGATGCATTTGGTGAAGACTTTGTGAAATGCTTCGTTGCCATAAAGTCTCATGAAATGCAAAAAGCAAGAGAAGCAGAAGAAAATGGTGATTCTATGTGGGACTGGAATATGTATTTTAAATACATTTAAAAAAACATTAACTTCATTTTTTCTTCAAAATATATAGAGTAAATCTACTGGTTCTGAAGTAAATTTCAAATTTTAATCAGACCCCTTTCTTCTTTTAGATACTGTCTGTTTAGATAATGTTTGTATAACAATTAGCATATATATTATTATCATAATATTATTATAATAAAATCCAATATACAAAGATTTTTGATAAACATTTAAATTATAACTAATAGTATTAATAGAACAAAAGTCATTAAGGTTCAAAATGGAAGGTTTCCCCAGAAACTATAAAGCTTATACAAAATTAAAAAATGAACCACATTTCGATTATAAAATTAAAATTAATGAGCGGTAAGCAGTAAATAAACAAATTGTACCGGTATACAGATGTGTATAAGAGACAGCCCCCTACTCTTCTCGAATGATGTACTGGGTTCTTTAAAGTGCAAACGAGCCAAATGCGTACACTGGGCCTATGATTTACAGTCCTTATCCGAGAAGACTTTTTCCACCAGCGGAACCATTGGTAAGTGAGCCGTTCGAACCAGCGCCGATATTAGAGTTGAAGCGGTGCCCCTGACTTAACCGCTCGTCCAATCAACTCGCCAAACGCACAGTGGACTTTACAATATGCACTCTATAACTATTCGACCATTGTGATTTTTATTATTTATTAGTCTTATGATAGAAGACAAAAGACATGCATTAATCAGCATTGTCCTACTATTGAGTAATTTGTTCAGATGTCGTGGGAAATCGACGACTGTCCTATTATATTTTGCTACCCTTTGAATAATTGCATTATCTGAAAAATATTAATTTGAATTGTATTATTATTTATATTTTTTGTACGGTATATATGGCACGTTTTCGTCACACTATTAATTATTGCCATGTATACAGCCTGTCTCTTATACACATCTAGATGTGTATAAGAGACAGATATATATATATATATATATTGGTATTTCATTCAAACATCCAGTGTAAACAGTAATAATACATAGGGCCTGGATGAACATTATGTAAGTTGAGAATATGATAAAGATAAAAAGCAGAACTTGTCTTTAGAAAGACGGTAAAATTGAAGTTAGCACAGCCTTTTATATTTCCGTCTATTTGTATAGGCCTACTAACACGTAATAGCCTCTTTCCTACGAAATGAACTGTGAAATACGGTACATCTTATACTGAGGGGTGTATACGAAATAGGCTTCAGATTGGACTTAAGCCATCATCTTCTTTCATTGGTCGTTCAATTTCAATTTTCCCACCAAAAGATTTTTTCTCTATGCGGACCGATAGGGGCTTAAGTAACCACTCACTGGACCGATTTTGGCCCGGACCAATTTTGGCGTGAGACATGCCTACGGCCAGGCAGGAGGCCGCCCGGCCGCCTCCTACTACTAATATGAGACCTGTAGCCTAAGTTTTTTAGGGTGTCGTGGTTGACGGTATCTTTAATGTTGGAAGTGTCTTATTTTTTTTTAGAATATGAAAACAACTTTGGTGAATGGGCCAATCTACAAGTTGAATTTGATTTCACATTCCTGATTTAAAGCAAAATCCAAATAAAAATGTATAGACATACGACCTACGTTTCAACACAAATTAGAAAAAAAAATGAATGTAAAGTAATGTTTATCACACACATGGAAACCTGTTGAGCTACAATTTGTGAACTGTGACAAAAACACGCAGTTAGTAGGCCTACTAAAAGATAAATGAGTCACTTTGGGCAATTTATTTCTTTTATTCATGCATATGCAAATTAATATTATAATTTGCCATGCTTGAGCAATCGCAGTCTGTCTGTGTTTTGTGTGCTTTGTAAACATGGACGGTTTTGTCAAGCAACGTTGGGATATTCACATAACAATATGATCACTTACTAAGTAATCAGATCTTTATGCTATAACCCACCGCCTCTGTTATTACGTGAGTATGATAAGTTAATGAATGGTCTTAATATTATATCCAGGCCAAATAAGACTAAGAGTCTAGGCCTAGGCTGTGCACTGCCCTAGCCTTGCTTGCTAGGCCCAGGGAGTTGTTATAGCAACTCCCTGCTAGGCCTAGGCCTAGCTAGAGAGGAGGAGAGGTCTATGTGGACGGTATCTAGCCACCAGCTACCTACTGGTAACATGAGACCTGGGCCTACCCAGGACGGGTGTCGGTGAATCCGTACCAAAACAAACCCGTACCCATACCAACCCGTACCCACTTTGGGTTGGTATGCCAGCCAGCCTACTAGGGCCAGGCTGGTATTTTCCTGGACTCTATTCTTTAGAACAGAAGCTAGCTAGGCTTAGGCCTAGATGTATAAAAGATAAGATGACAAATAAATAAATATTTTTTTGTGTGTGTGGGGAGGGGGGGGGGAGGTCGTCAGATCGGTTTCTGGACAAAACGACAAAAAACCAAAACGGCAATGATAAGTACCAAAACGGCAACAGACCAAAATGGCAAAAGGCATAGACCAAAATGGCAAAGGAGCAAAAATCAGCGCCAAGAATGAAGCGCCACCGGGCCCGGGCAGCAGTTTATAATTTTCTGAATCGTTTTTTTTTTTTTCTTTTTTTTAGTTCTGTGTTGTTTTTTTTTCACACATCCATGACGAATTATTTTGTTATTTTAAAGTGTTATTTATTTTTTTTTTCTTTCCGTTTTTTACTTTCGTATTAGCCTCATATTATCTGTATTTTAAGGTTTTAATTATTTAAATGTTCACTGGTTTTATATTGTATGTATTATATTGTGTTCCCCCAATCTTTCTTACTATTGAATTTGTGTGTTGTATTGTTGTAATTGTTTTTACTATTTTTATTATTATTATTATTTTTCATTATCATGATTAATGTTGTTATTCTTTAAAGTGTTTTTTTTTTTCGCGCTTTTTTTACTTTTATGACATAAATTGTTTAGCCTCATTTTGTCTGTATTTTAAAATTAATATTTAAGTTATTTAAAATATTAAATTATTGTTTACTGCTTTTATATTGTGATCCCCCAATCTTTTTACTATTGAACTTGTATGTTATACTATTATTATTATTATTATTATTATTATTATTATTATTATTATTATTATTATTATTATTATTAATCATTGTACACTTCCATGTTTATAATTGGGTTTTATGTAGTGCCACATTGGAATTAAGTTTTACTTCTTAAAGAAAACTTTCATAGACCATCCTTGCATCATCTTTTATTATAATATTTTTTTTGTCCTGCCTTGTGCAAATTTGATCTGTTCTGTACAATGTTTTGATGATGAGAACTAAACTGATGATATACCAAAATAAATATTGAATCAGAATGGTCTGTTAATTTTATTTGAGTTGTACTTTTTTGTTATAATTAGTAACAGCAGTTAAAATTAACCATCAAACCGAGGTAAATACAAATTAACAAAAGTTCATGAATAAGGTGCAAAATCAAGAGGGGGAACGTTACTTTTAATAACCTTTTAATATAAAAAAAAAGGCGTTTTTAAGCAAACTATTGTTGATTCGGTAAAATCAATTATTAACTGTGTTGCCTACAGTTTATGGTCAACTGGTTTTGACTTATTGCCATTTTTGTCTTGCCATTTTGACTTATTGCCATTTTGGTCCATTGCCGTTCTGGTCTAAAAGTGTTGCTGTTTTTAGTTTTTTGTCCATTTTGGTCATTGCCGTTTTGACTTATTGCCATTTCGGATTTTTGCCGTTTGGATCTGTTCCCGTCAGATCAATCGATTGCATGTGGAACGAGCTATCACAATCCATAACATCCTCCCAAAACGAACAGTATTTATCTGTAATCCAACCTATGCATGAATAAACACACAACATGCACACTATACTACCATGTATGATGGATCAGTCATCTGTTGTCTTGTATAAAAATGAAGATGAAATCTGAAGTTGCATACATTTGTCATTTATTAAATATTTCAGTGATCATATTAGGTAATATCATTAGCCAACAAATTTAAAGATAATTTAATTAATTAAATTTTAGATTGAGTAATTGAGATTTACAAACACTGTGGAACATACAGTAGGCCTACGGTAATAACAATTTCAGTGGCACCAAGTTCTGGAGTTTGAAATAGAGAGACCCAGAGATGGACTTTCACAAATGGAGGGTGTAGACCACCACATCTGCAACAGAATTCTGATGGCATAACTGGTGGCTTTCAAGATTTGCCGGATGGGGAGGTTGAAGACCTCAGCAGAAGACTTATTTCCAGTGGGGTCCTTTTGGTGGTGATTGGGCAGTACACCAGGAGACAATTCCCTACTCTTTTCTGAAGAGTGTACTGCGTTCTTTAACGTGCACATGCGCCATAAATGCACACAGGACCAACAGCTTAAACATCTCATCCTAAAGACGGTGCACTATTGTAACTTGTATTTCAGCCCTCCAGCTGAAACACAAGGAGAGGCAGTGATCGGAATTGAACCGGGGACCAGATCTGCACCGTTCAGCGCACACACAGTTGCTACCACCAGATTAGCGGAATTAGCTAAACTCCTTTCTATGGGTTTTAACTACTGTATTATCTTTTTTCTTAACAGACATAAGCCTTTCTGCGCAGCCTTGTCATCAGTGGTTGGAAAATGGCCGTTCCAAAACAGAAGACTTCATCAGTGTGCCAAATGGAAAATGAAATTAAGGTGAAGTTTACACATGGTGTTAAATATTCTTGAGCCTAGCAATGGACTCTATTTCATTATGAGCAGTAGCTACTCACAGCACATACAGGGTAAAACCAAAGTAAAGCCAAATCAATGCCCGAGCAGTTATGGCAGGGGCATAACTAACAGCCATAATATCAGCACTGGTTCGAACAACACTTTTGCCTATGATTCTGGAGGTGGAACAAGTCTTCTTGGATAAAGACTATAAACTGTAGACCCAGTGTACACATTAGCTCATGTGCAATATGTAGAACTCAGTATATCCTTTGAGACTAGAAGGGGTTTATCCCGCTGTACTGGTCCATTTCACAGCAGCCCCTGTCATTGTGGACTAGACAGCACCTTCTTGGCTTAGGGAAAAGTAAGAATGAGTTGTCCACATACGTATTGGGCCGAAGCCTTCAAATAGGAAGATGGCACTACATCTCGGAAGAAGATGAAGTAAACCATGTATTCGTGTTGTGTTGTAATGTTAAAAATTAATATTATCATCCCCACTTGATTTCTCTGACCAACTTGTACTAATTTCCATAAATACTTTTTTGTATGCTCTTAACATCTTGTATTGTTTTCCATTAGAGTCTGAAGGAGGAGAATAAGCACCTGAAGATGGAACTTGAGGAGATAAGGTTGGTTTGGTTATCTTTTATTCTTTACTCCATGATTTATAGTGCAGATCATTCTATTGTTCATAATACATGTTTATCGGAACATCAATTAAGAATAAGCATATTCCGATGGTGTTTTCATCAGGAGATTTAATTGCAATGTTGTTTTGCCTACCTGACGTGAACATCATTGCAGTACATGCTGATACACAGCTACTTGGAGATCGGATTCAACACTAGCCACTAAGTGCAAGCTTGGTGGTCTAGTGGTTAAAGTACCAGGCTAGTTTATCTGGAGGCTGTTGGTTTGATTCCCACCCAAATCACTTGCAGGATTTTTTTCACATATATTTGGGAACGTACCGAGTATTCAATACAATAACATGTCACGTAGGGCAAAGCCTCATTCCTAATAACATTATTGTCACTATTATAATAGCATTATATATTATACCATACACATAATGTCATTAATATCCCAATAGACTAGACTGCACTGCATGGCAGCAATGAAGTCTATGTTAATGTTTAGTTTTCAAGTAAATCTTTATAATCCATCTCTGAGGTCTGTACCTGGCCTTGCACACTGTATTTTCAAAGACCAGTACATTCTTATTAAAACATTTGCATCCTATGTACTATAATAATAATTTTTATTCGAACATATAATGATTAAAGAGAATATGTAATTCTTAAATGTAGCAAGTAATACAGTAATATGTATAGGTGTAATTTTTCCACGTCAGGTAAGGCAAAAATTACACCTATACATGTTTCTCCTGACGCAAATCCAGTTATTGTCTATTATTCCATCACGACAATAACAATCACTATTAATACAGTAATAGCAATAAGTATACTAGAAGGTCCTCAGATTCACATTTAATGAAAAGATCACAAATACAATAACAAAATTTGAAACTAAAGTTATTGGGATCGCATTGAAACTGAATGGAGGTTTGGGCAATGATACAGTTGCATCTTAATTAAAAAATCAACAAATTTAACCCTTGAAGTGTCATGTGGGGTTTTTATTGGTATCCAACCAAGTTTGCCATATAATGTAGATCGGGACGTATTCATAGGTGACTACCGTTTATCATGCAATTTGTATTTGAAATTTTTCTAATTTATGTCTTATTTTTTAATGTTACACTATACATTGGATCCGTAGTTAATAGAAGGGAGTGCAATTGCCCTTCATTGTATAATCTCCATAACAAATCCTATTACCGTATGGAAATTTTCAATATACCAATATATTATTAAACACAGACTTAAATTGTATATATTGCAGATCATTGTATAAACAGCTTGTTCATGAAGCTCCCTCCGAAAAGTTTGATGAGATGCGAGTGAACCTGTTAAAATCGCAGCTCATACAGCTCGAGCGACAAATATTGCTGCAATCGGAAGCAATAACCTCCAGAGCAGACATCCTGCTGGTGGTTGAGAATGCCCTCCAGTCAACAGCAGATTCAATGAGGTATTACTATACTTAGAATTTATCTAACTACTGTAGTTGGCTATCTCCATCCTTTTCATATTCAGCACCATAAAAAGTATTTTGACTCTAAAACAAATATATAAACAACCTCTTCTTACAATCACTCATATATATCTATAGGAATTTGCTAGCCAGTGGCGTTTATGGTCCAACGGTACCAGTTGAAAGATCGCAGCTGATGAAAGTTATTGAAAACCTTGAAGGTGCTCGACATCGCTTGTATAAGAACATAGAGGTAAATTTGCAAATTACTGTACATATATAAGTGATAATAAATTGTTGAGAAAACATATTGTCCCCATCAATTTGAATCCAAGATCTTCTGATTACCGTTTGGATATTTGAACAACTGAGCTATAGCCTGGTTCACGTCGAAGTTAAGCCACTTATCTAAATCTTGAAATATGATATGATTTTCCCTAGTTGCTTTCAATGCCAAGTTAGAGCCAGATAAACAGCCAGCCAGCTTCATGGCCGTCGACGTCACACTGTGGAAAGGCTTGTTTAATAACGTCTACTGTATTTTATGAACCTCTAGTACCAAGGGGTATTCGTTAAAAAAATTGACAAATTCATATACCTACTGTAGATCAGGTGTCAGTTTCCACTTAATAGCCTAGCTATCCTCTGCCATTTATATATAGGCGACTAGCTAATACGAACCAACCGACAGTGCAGCAGCGTGGTCTACCGCAATAGTAGTAGGCTACTAGGCCGTAGCTAAATTTACCTTTGATAAAAACCAAATTATTTTAATCGCTAGCATTCTCCCATTTAACAAAATATGTTTTATTTCTCATTAAAACGTCTGTATACTTTATGGACCTTTCTGTCATGTTTTTTTGCAGTTTTTAGATCGTTGAATTTGTGTTGTTAACATTCACTTCGTGAAAATCTAACTTTGCAGTGTCAAAAAAGTTGCTGACTTCAACACACTTATTTATTTCGTCATTGTAAACATGTGGGCTCATTTTTACAACTGGCATTGGTGGTAGGAACTGAATTAATAGCGACTATTATAGCAGAAATTGAAAAGATGAATTGTCAATAAATAAATACAACAAATCTGATTTTATTATGAAGAAAAATATACATTATCACTTTGAAAACAAACGCAATCGGACTTTTTATCATTATTACTTGGTCGATGATGCAACGGTTATTTGTATATCGACTATTCGTAAAACGGACGTTTACTGGGTTTTTACCCATAATATTACAAATAATTTCTGAAAACCAGACTAGTGAGACACTTTGCTGCTGTTGTTAGCATTGTTGGACTACGTTGTTGCCAGCCAGAGGATGATAATGGTGGTACAACACAACAACGCTGGCTTAGATGCCTACGTTATGTAATCGTGTCCTTGTAATCTGAGCCAACTTTACCGTTATGCAAGTTAATTTACTGTTATTCTAGTGAAGTTAAGTCACTTAACAATAAGTGACTTAAGCCTTTATCTAGCTATAATTGACTGGTTCACGTCAAACTTTTAACTAGTTAAGTGGATCTATATCCAGATAAAAGTTCGACATGAACCAGGCTTATGAGGCCAAGTTGTATACACCCTTAAATTTTTCCTCACGGTATTACGTAATGCTCAATAAATAATAATTGATAACAGATCACATGTAAAAAGATACTCACATACCAGACTGGGAATATATTAATATATATTACACAAAGAACAAGCATGGCTAAAAATGGAGTCGAATAGCTTAGTGGTATATTGAGATGCTTGCCTTTTAATCCCAGGGTCTTAGGTTGAATACCTGTGGGAGCAGGACTTTTTCTCAAGACCAAAAACTCCACTCCCTAAGACTCATAAACAGACTACACTGATAAAAGCAGGATACGCTGGAGGAAGGGTAATCCTCTACAAATATGGTTAAACAAAATCATTATGGTTTACTATCATGTACTTTGTACTTACAAGTAGCTCATGTTGGATAGAATGCACTTATTCGAGTTGTTAAAAATTGTCATTTTCCTTCCAGAATAATTCATCTGAAAAGCTAGCTAAGCCAGTGCTGTACATGGGAGAGTTCCTAAAGCCAGGCCGGGGCAGGGAAGTGACAGTACTAGATGTGTGCAATGGGACCACCGAACATATCAGCTTAAAGCATGTGGTGAGTAATCTTCATAGGGTATAGGGTAAACTTTGCGTGGACACTCATCAGAAGTAACGCGCGCGTAAAATGTTACGTCTGTCGTAACCTTTCTTCAGACGAAAGGTCGTCTGAATATAACTAGATATACGCCCTAATTTATTTTTGAAAAAAAATATTTCAAATATTATGACCCTGCCCCTCTGATTCCTGGTTTTATAATTCCAGATCTGCCCTTTTCCTAAATAAGGAGCTGTGCTAGATGGTTTATACATTTTGCAATTTGATTTCTTTCCATGGTTTTGTTCCCTCCAACTGCCTCATACTGTATATACATTATGAAACTCTAAAATTACAAGCCTCCCTCCAATTAAAGACCATTTTTGTTACCTGGGTGTCTGTGAACTTTAGCAGTTTTGGTTAATTTAAACAATACAGATACTGTACAAGACATTTTTTAATTTGAATATTTATTTGAAGGTTGTCTTTAGTTAGAGGTATTTGTATAAATTAGAGTTTTAATTTTTCTCTACTTTGATGTTATCATTAATATATATTTTTTTCACAGGCCAAATTGGAATCAAAATTATTTACACTACAAAAGAACTTACATGCGTTGCACCAGTCAATGAAACTATTCTGGTCACATGATTTTAAACAGCCTGTTTACACCAACCAGCAACTTGGTCTACCTGTTATTCAACGGTTGTCAGGACAACTGGCAAAATCTGAGAAATGTCTAGAGCAGTGCTGCCGTGATCTTATAGCATTGTCAATATTGGTGCCCACCGCACCATGGGTAAGGTGATTTGATATTATAAAGCAACTATTCAATATGATTGTGTGTTAATATGACATAAGGACATATTAATCCTCTCATGCATTTTAAAAATATAAACATCCTGAACTATACATGCCAGTTATTTGCTATGATCATTCATTTGCATATTAACTTAAAATTTATTGTCAAAAATATAACAAATAGTTCATTGACAAAGGGTGATAAGGTATAGCTAAATAAAACTAATCTAAGCTTAACACCTTCTGATGAAAAACAAAACATACCAATTTTTCTAGAATTATTTACAGTACGTTGAATAAATTAATTTGGACAAACCAGAAAATATACAAAATTATAAGCAAAACTAATAATAAAATTAAAAATGTATGTGATAAATTGTAGTAAATGGATCTGAAATGTATTTAATAGATAAATTTAACAACTGCTTTAAAATGATTTCTACAAGTAGTATTTCTGTAACTAAGAAAAGATCATTTCATATTTAACACCATTAAATGAAATTGTTTGTTGACCTAAATAAATTTGAGGTTTGGGCAAGGCAAAATTAACAGTTTTTAAAAATCTAGTGTTACATGGATGTTTGATATTTTGAGAGTAATCCTTAGTAGAATGGGGTGTTTCCACTGAAAAACTCTAAATTATTTTTGCTTATATTCAGCCTGTATTGAACAAGCCACCTGTTGTCGAGGTAACAACTGAAATGGTATTATCAGCACTTCCAAATTTTCCTCGTAGTAAACAGCAAGAAGTAAGTGTCTACAATGTTTGTTTTTAATTCTTAAATACACTTAATATCCATGTGGCACATCCTACAAGCAATTAACAGTATTTGGTTCCGAGAAGTAAGTAAGTAAGTAAGTAAGTAAGTAAGTAAGTAAGTAACTTTATTGCTTCTCTTTATAACAGTGGCACAACCGTAAAGATGTGCAACAATAACAAAATCAGTAAAAACTTAATTACTGTGATTAAATATAGTAAGGAAATACTGCGGTAGAACGAAATATATATAAAAGAGGGTTTACAAAAATAGTAATAGAGATAATAATAAATACTAATACTAATAGTATAAGTAAGTATGTTAATACACATACACTTATACACACACATACATACATACACACACATACACACCCACCTACACCCATATATACACACACACATATATTATATTAATGTTAGTGCTATTGTCTTAACTACTAGGCCTATATCCTGTCTCTTATACACATCTAGATGTGTATAAGAGACAGGTAATTAATAGGGTTTATACAAAATTTGATATTCGTAATGGATTTCTAAATCATCAAACAAAAGATGGTATTTAAGTTCAGGGGAGCTTGATGTGAATAATTCCCAAAATATATGTAAATCCTTTTTGTATAACTCCTCTTTAAGTTGGTCAAATATTAAATTTCTAATGTTCTTTAATCTGGTACAATCAAATACAAAATGATTGATGGTTTCCTTTGTCATGCAGTCACATAATGCATGAGCCTAAATTTTGAGGTGACCAAAATTCATTTCTTCCTTCAAGAGGTATTGAGTTAGAACGAGCTTTAAATTTTAAACTTGAAGCATGAAAGTTACACTTTTCTAATAAATACTTTTCCATTTTAGGTTCACCTTTGTATCTTATGTAATGTTTTAAGGATGATTTACTTAAAGCATTGTTATACCAACTTATGTTATCTTTTTTAATATTTTTTTCTTTGAAGCATTTAAGCCATTTGGTACAATAGTCAATGTTAAAGAACATTTGTAAATAAAATTTATTTAAAATGGATTCAATATTTTGAAGCCATTTCCAACTCTTTAAGCGTAAAGAGAGCCCTAAATAATAATCTTGGCCAGCGGTGTTCTTCCATATTTTTTAGTCTATAAAAGTAAGTTAATAATCTTTCTGATTGAATAGATTCAATTTTTTGCCAGCCAAGTTCACCATATAAGGCTTCCTTTGCGACATATCTGGGTGCTTTTAATAGGTATCTGGCCATTTGGTATTGTAAATTTTCGATTTTCTCAATAGATGCTTTGTAATTGCAAACCCATATACTGCTTGCATAATTTATATTTGGTATTCCAATCGCTTTCCAAAGAATATCCCATAATATATTCTGTTAAAATCTTCCTGTCCATTAATAATAGATTTTATATACGATATATTCTATTTCCCTTTTTAACTATTTCATCTATGTGACAGGTATCTTTTATTTTTCTAGATATAAACATTCCCAAATATTTATAAATATTAGCTTCATTAATGAAATTATTACCAATTGGCCATTACCTATATATATTAAAGCGTTGCCCAGTTACAATGACATTGGACTTCATTCAAATCATTTTCCATTTTGTAGCAAAATCATTTGCCGCATTCAAAAGTAATTATAAATCTTGCTCACTATCTCCAATTAAAATAATATTGTCTGCCCAGAATAAACTGCCGATTTTTACATCAAAAATATTTATACCTAAACCTCTTTCCTTAATAATCTTATTGAGCTCATTAATGTATATGAGCTCAATGAGAAGAATCTTTTGGATTGTAATGTTCCGACGTTTCAATTATAGTAGTATACTCTAATCGTCCTCATTCTTGATCTCAAGACGGTTAGTTTATACTAATCAAAATTTTGGGACATTTCAAATCTAAACGATTCTTCTCAGAATCAAATACCATCAATAAGATTTGTAGTATATGCCATGCTTTTAATTAATTATTAACTTAAGCTTGGGGAAAGATGCATCCAAATTTGAAGTTTTAAATTCAAATGTTTTTCCTCAAAACAAAAACCAATCTCACAAGCTTGTTAATGTTAATAAATCATAGCAGCTTGCAATCTAAACGGTTCTCTCGGAACCAAATACCATCAATAGTTTGTAGATGTGCCACATGGTGTAACGAAAGGTAACGAAAGTCAATTGATAATGTCAATTCACAATGAAAACTTTTTTAAAATTTCTAAGCTAAAATTAATTATGGTACTGTACATGTAGTTATTATTTGCTGGTTCTGTTTTTATAGTTCTTAAACACTCTTTTGGTTTCTTAGGGTAAAAAAATGATAACAGCACTAACAAAGGCTTGCAGTTACACTAGACAAGTGGTGAGATTGGAGGTAAGTTAATCAATTTTAAATGATTAGGTAAAATAAATCTAATGATTATCGACTATGAAACATTTCATTTGTACTTGTGTTAATTGCCAAGAAAATTATTTATTTTTTCAATTGGAAACTATAACTATTTAAATGCATAGGTGACAAGTTTTCGTTTTTGTAAAGCTAAAATGGAAATATATAAAGTAAATCTTGTTTGTCTGCTGTAGAACAATTTAAGAAACGACAACAGCAACAATTTCTTATCCCATTTGTACAGCCTCCTGATGAAGCCTACAACAGTATGTAGATGATAGTTAAAAGTGCTGTTTACATATATTATTTATATGTAAATTAATTTGAATAATGAGGTAGTATAGTATTAAAACATAAACAATTGTCCACTAAGGTTTAAAGTTTGTTCATTGATTCTAGGCTAAAGCTTGTGCAGAGGAACTGAAATATCACCAAGCAATCTACCAGCTCCAAATGGACTATATGCAGTCACTGTTTACGGCTGTCAGGTAAAAAGCTTAATCCAGTGGCATAACGAAGAGTCACAAGGCCTTGGGGGTGAGAAAGTGTTGGGGGCACTATGCATTTTTGTAGTTGATTTGCAGTGGAAACATGTAGCGTGTTATATTACTATAATTTAATTTGAATTCTCTTTGGAATTCTAGTAGTGGTTTACTTAATTATTTCAGAGTACTTTTAGCCTGGTTCTCACAAGAGCCCTATTATCCGGATCGGGAGCTAACCGTTAGTGCTAACCGTTAGCGCTAACCGTTAGCACCTGCGTGAGAACGCCCGATAGGTATCCGGATACCGCTAACACATGTAATGACTCATGTGATCATCAACTGACGAATCAAAGTACTGTATTAATGTTTATATTTTATTTCAATCTCGGATGGAATGGAGTACAGAAAATTATCCTGAAATATATCATGGTTCTGTTTTTTCTTTCAGTGATGCCTACTGTAAATTTGAAGGCAACATTCAACAAATGCTTGGTAAACCCTTGAAAGGTAAACCTTCCTTTTGTTCCATGTTTGGGGGGTGGGGGGGGCAGCTTGTTCTGATGACCGTTCCACTGGCAGCTGTGTCCATGGTGTAATTGTATTGACCCAGACCTAGGACTTTCCATCACAACCTCTTTGTAGGTGGAACCATTGTGGCACAGCCAGGGGTTGCGCCAGAATTTGCCCGGCAGGGGGTCTGACGATGGGAGCTGTGGAGAGCGTAAGTGGGCGTGGTCAGATGTTGCTAAAGGTAAAGGTAGGAGAATAACCCATAACTTGCAGCGTCATTGTGCTGAATTGTGTATGGTTGTGGTCCGTGACTACCTAGCAGCCGTAAAGAGGCGCTTCTTGGTAGATACAAGTTCACATCATTCCACAACAACAGGGGCTGAAATTAACCGTAACATCGGGTAACCCCCTACTCTTCCAAAAGATGCAATGGGTTCTTTAAAGTGCACACAAGCCAGATGTATACACTGGACCTCCATTTTAAGTCCTTATCTGAGAAGACTTGGTGCTTGTAGCTAGCTTGCCACTGCCTTACCGCTTGGCCACTCGACTCGCCTCAAAATTTCTCGGAAGTAATCCCCCAGAAACTATGACATTTTAGGGTCTAGTTTAATCGATTTTAGAGCCTAGTAATATGTTAAAAATACATATATATTTTTTTCTTCTGACAAATTGTTTTTTCCCTGATGGGGGCCAGCTCTCCCCAACGGGGGCCTTTCACTGGCGCCAACACTGGGCACAGCCCTATGTCTTTGGTCTCTGCCACCATGCTTCCACCTACAAAGAGGTTGTAAGCTGTTTCTAAATTTGAGTATTATAATTATGATTTTTCTTTAGATATTGTGATTTCAAGTGGGTTTTTTTTCTGTGTTTTAAAGATGTATTAGATTCGTTTATGTTGTTGAGAGACTCTGCATCAGAGGATGCTCTGAGAGATTTCTTGGCAACTTTTAAAGATCATGCTGATACAGTAAGTTTGCTAATTATTTTTTTAATGTTTCAGCAACATGTATCACTATGGCAAACACATCCATCTACCAAAAATTATTTTAGTATATTAACAGATTTGTCAAGGAATAGATGAACTACAATGTTTACAAAGTACTATCCATCAATATTCTAGGTGTTTCTAGACCATGCCAAGAACGTCTGTGTAGAATCAATTCATAGTTAGCCGATACAGTACAGAATTACTAAATAATGGTAATTATATAGTGCTCTCTATATTATTCATTTTTGCCCTTGTTTAGCTTACAGATGCTGTCAAATCACTTTCACCATGTAGTGACAATGTGTCAGATGGGACTCATAAAGCATTGACTGATTTTGGCAAGCAATTCTTCATATCAGTTGACACCCAGTCAAGAAAATGCATTGCTGAACGAGATCGCCTCGCAAAAGAGATTGAGGAGGTTAAACAACAGAGGGAGCTGTACAACAGTGAAGTCAAAGATATTTTCTCACCAAAACCAGAAGTTGAAAAAGTGGATAATGGTACCATAGAAGAAAATAAACACATTTCAGATATTTCTCATGAGTGTGGTGATGTTTCTGTGAAGAATGTCCCAGTAAGAGTTAGCTCGGCTAAGAAGACTCTAAACGGGCCCAAAAGTAGTAATGATGTAAAAGGCAGTGGTATGAAACAAGGGTTGATTGAAGGCAAAGCAACAGTAAGGAATGCTCACGATAGGGGTAATGGCACAATAGATGAACAAGTAGCCATCGCACCAGTGACACAAATTCCCACCTCTAGGCCAAAAATGGTGAGGCAGAACAGCTCCGGTGGTACACCAAGCAGGATAGCTAGGCCCACTAGTAGCTTGCAAAGAGGCCTTAAAAAATCACCAACAAAATAAGTAAACATATTAAATATTATATGTACATTCCAAACTATTCACTGTACTATATTCAACACAAGGTATATTTTTCAACTTCCAGTCAATGATGTTTACAGGTAATGCAATAGTAATAATTATGAGTGCTGTAAGATTCCTCTATGCACTTTTGTTTTTCTTGGTAACTTGTCCTTGTGTATCTAAAACATTCAATTTTCACCGATTTAAATATACTGTACTATTTTAAGAAACCTTAAATTAATTGCCAGCTAATTTAAAGGCCTATGCAGAAAAATGGTATTATTTATGTGTCTGTAAATTTGTAACAAAAAGCAAATTCTAATTGAAGATTAAACAATTCAATTTTGGTTTTTTGTATATATCCTTAAAAATGAATGATGATAAAAGTATAGTAGTTAGGAAGGTATTCTAAAAGATTTTAACAATTACATTTATTATTTTTACTGAATATTCGATCTAAAAAGTGTGCTATATATGGATAAATTAGGATTATGTTTTAGTTTTATGGATAAATTAGGATTTTGTTTAGTCTTATGGATAAATTCGAATTTTTGTTTAGTTTGCTATTTTCACTATACTCTCACGAATTTCAAAATGTACTGTACACATGTAAATTGATGCTGAGGTAGGTAAGGGATGCTATAGGTAAGTAAGGTAAAGGTTAAAACCTGAACCTCTGCGCTCACAGGCCAGATAGCTTGTCTCTCTCTCCTTGGCATTTGGGTCAGAATGTGCAAGGCTGTAAGGGTTTTGCCACTCTTTCCACACAAGTTTGTTTAACCTTCACAGCATATGCCGGTACCCATTTATGCTCCTGTGTAGAGTGAGACAAACGTAGATAAAGCATCTTGCGTAAAGCCCTTGCTGCGCAAGTGACTTGCGCAGCAAGGGCTTTGAACCCCAACCTCAAGTCTGAGACACAACTGTTGCACTAACCACTTCCACTAAACTATGAGGTCCAGTGGCAGCGCTACGGGGAGGGAGAATTTCCCTCCCCCCCCCCAGACGCTGGTACCGCCACTGATGAGGTCCTAAAAATACACCATGGAACCAAAATTAATGCTACCAGGAAGACAATAAATTATTGATGTTAATTATTAAACTAAATAAGTCAATTGTCACATCGTCATTTTACATTCCACCTAACTTTCAAGTTATTTTAAGCTCTGTTGGAAATTAAAAGCCTTATTAGGAGCTGTTATACCTTTCAAAGCCACCTTCAGCCCCTGCAGGGACCTAAACTTCTAAGCTAGGCACCACTATCAACGGCAGAGACTCGTCTAAACCTTTCCTTCATTATAAGAACGCTGCATTCCATTTTTCTAAATCTAGATAATTAGTGTGTGGACATCTGTTAGTACTATTTAAGACTTATAGTTCCTGTAGAATTATATGAACTTGGTCAAACCTATCTTTTAAAATAATGACACTAATAATAAATAGTATTCAGATAGATTAATATGAGTAATAATGTCCTGATAAATGCAAATTATGCTACACTATGCAAATTTGCTTCAAGTAATTATTCATTGTTGTCTCCAAACTTTGTAACTTTTATATTACCGTACCACCTACATACTATTGTTGTGTCTTAAAAGCAGCTAACACATTCTATGCAATAACTATAATTCCAGTCGATTCAAGTGAAAATGATTTGTTTTGTATACAATTAATAATCTAAACCGCAAGTTCAGATTGGTTGTACTACTGTATTCATTTCGAAACATTTTACTGCAAAGCTGTGATTAATTAAAGTATGTGCAATGCAAACCATGTTATTTCTGGTCTTTATAAGTCTGTTTACTTAAAATCTCTACACTTAGTCTGGCAGCTTAGCAGATGGATGTGGACGTTCCGGACAAAAGCACCAATTTTTTTTTTGCATGCTCCTTATGGTCATAGCATTTAATTTTCGGTAGGAACCACCTCATCCGAGGTCATTATGGCGGCCATCTTGGATTTCAAAATGGCCGCCTAATAAAACCTATGTTTATCTATATCTCCGCTTCTAAATCACTTGGAATTATAATTCTAATGTCTGAAACTATTTTTATATGGTCGAGGAATACCATCATACCATTTTTGACCTGGTCAGATTGCCACGTCATTTAAGGTCAAATATTGTATGGTATCTTAAAACATAATTGTCATATTTTACATTAGAACCATACCCTGACTCTCAGAATTCAAAATCTTTACTATGAACTACAATATTTCATTCGAGGTCATTCTGGCAGCCATCTTGAATTTCAAAATTACTGCCACGCACTTCCTATATTTATCAATACATCGGTTTTTAAACCACTTTAATGAGAATTATGATATCTAAAATTATATTTCATGGTCAAGGATTTATAACACTTGTGACATGGTGAGATGGTCATTAAGATCATAAAAGGTCATTCAATGTATACCATACCATTACCATTTTTCACTTGGTCAGATTGCCACAAATAGGTCATTCAAGGTCAAATATTGTATCGTATCTTAAAAATTACGCAACTCATGTATTACATTAGAACTTTAGAATCATATCCATACTCTCAGAATTCAAATGTTTTACTATGATATATATATATATACTCTTATACACATCT